GTGGCGCAACCTGCGTGGTGCAGTCCAGGTGGTGCAACGCAATGCACAGCAACGCAAAGCAACGCAAAGCAACCGCAAAGCAACGCAAAGCAATGCAGAGCGATGCCATGCAAAGCAACGCAAAACAATTCAAAGCAACGCAACGCAATGCAAAGCAACGCAACTCCGAGCAACGCAGAACAGTGCAAAGCAATGCAAAACAACGCAAGACAGTGTAAAGCAACGGCACAGCAATGCGCAGCAATGCAAAGCATCGCAAAGAAATGGAATGCAAAGCGGTGCAATGCAATGCAACGCAAAGCAATGCAATGCAATCCAATGCACATAAATGTAAAGTAAAGCAAAGCAATGCAACGCAATCGAAAGCAATGCCAAACAGTGCAATGCAAAGCAATGCAGAGTAATGCAAACCAATGCAGAGCAATACAAAGCAATGCAATGTACAGCATCGCAATGCAAAGCAATGCAAAGCAACGACAACATAGCCGCCAGACCGACAGTCAGGACCACCTTCTTAGAAAAGGACTTGAGCAGTCTACGTGGTGCAAGCCAACGGCGGCGACGGGCGGCGACGAGGCGGCGACGAGGCGGCGACGAGGCGGCGACGAGACTGTGACGAGGCGGCGACGGTGACAACAACATAGCCGCCAGACCGCCACGCTGGCCCAGACGGCGGACAGCGACGAGGTGGCGACGGAGCGGCGACATCGACAATTTGGCTGCCAGACCGACACACCAGGTCAGTTCCTTAGAGAAGAATTATGAAACCCTGAGTGAATCACTGTTTAAGGAATAGGTCACCAATGCACTTGGTTGTCTTCGTCGGGGCAACTTCTGATGTTGTTTCTCTCCGCGCGCTGCTTGCTTCCTTCAGTCGGCCGTTTACGTGAGCGGGATGTTTAGAGCTGCCTCCTCGGGGTACACGCTGGAGCACTCCTCGGATGCCGCGGCGGCGGCTCGGAGTATCCCCCCTCCCCGGACTCATTGAATTTCTCCGGTGCGATGGGATGAGGTATTGAAGTGGGTACCTATGTTCCCGGAAAGGGCGTGGGCCCAGGGTTCCCTTTTAGTTTTCGGAAAGAGCTCAGGCCCATGGTTCTCTTGTAGTTGGTTTTCCCCCCCGTCTCGATTTGAAGAGGGCTGGCGAAGTTATTGCGATAAATAACCAGGTCGAAGAGGGCCGGCGGAATTGTTTGTGAGGATGTCTCGAGGGAAACGTTTGCTTTGTGTTATATATATGTATATTTTTTACCGGAAAGGCGTAGGCCCAGGGTTCTCTTTTAGTAGGTGAACCTGTCCCCCGGGCCAGATTTCTGTAGGGCCAGCGAGTTCTTTCCCTGATAAATAACGAAGTCGAGTGTGAATTTGCAGTTGAACAATTGCGTTTTTAGAGTGCCCGCTCGAGGAGAGTTTGCCCCCCATCTCGGATCCTCGATAAATATCGAGGTCCGCCAACCACCGTATCCTTTTGTAAAACAAAAGGGGCGGCGCGTTTTGCGCAGAATCTTCAAAAAACAACAAGGTCTGGAGCCCCGACCGCGACGCGAAAAAGCGTCCCGCGCGCAGAAATTTCGAGGATGTCTCGCGCGTGCCGCGCCCCGCGCGCAGGAATTTCGAAAATGTCTCGACTGATTCGCTGGTTTTTGCGGGAATTTCGCTAGGAGTACCCAGGAGGTATCTAACATGGTGGTGCCGAGCTGGAACCGCGTGTTTTCACGTGTCCAGGCCACCCAGGTGGGTATCTAACATGGTGGTCCTGAATTGGAACCATGTGTGTTCACGTGTCCAGGCCGCGCAGAAATGGGGTATCTAACATAGTGGTCCTGAGCTGGAAGCATGTGTTTTTACGTGTCCAGGCCACGCATGGGCGTATCGAACGTGGTGGCCCCGCGCTGGAACCAAGTGTTTTCACGTGTCCACGCCACCCAGGGGGCTATCTAACATGGTGGTCCCGAGCTGGAGCCGCGTCGTTTCACGTGTTCGGGGCACCCAGGTAGGTATCTAACATGGTGGTCCCGAGCTGGTACCACGTGTTTTCACTTGTCCAGGCCACACAGAAATTGGGTATTCAACATAGTGGTCCCGAGCTGGAACCACGTGTTTTCACATGCCCAGGTCGCCCAGGGGGTATCTAACATGGTGGTCCCGAGCTGGAGCCACGTGTTTTCGCGTGTCCAGGCCACACAGCGGGGTATCTAACATGTTGTGCCCGAGCTGGAACCACGCCGCTTCACGTGTCCAGGGCACCCAGGTGGGTATCTAACATGGTGGTCCCGAGCTGGTACAACGTTTTCACGTGTCCAGGCCACACAGGTTGGTTTCGAGCATGGTGGTCCCGCGCTGGGGCCACGTGTTTTCACGTGTACAGGCCACCCAGATTGGTATCTAGCATGGTGGTCCCGAGCTGGAACCACGTGTTTCACCTGGCGAGGCCACCCAGGGGGTGTCTAAGATGATGGTCCCGCGCTGGAACCGGGTGTTTTCACGTGCCCAGGTCGCCCAGAGGGTGTATCTAACATGGTGCCCCCCGCGCTGGAACCGCCTGTTGTCACGTGCCCACGCCACCCAAGGGGGTATCTAGCATGGTGGTCCTGAGCTGGAACCATTTGTTTTTACGTGTCCAAGCCACCCATGGGGTATATAACATGGTGGTGCCGAGCTGGAACCACATGTTTTCACGTGTCCAGACCACCCAGGGGTATCTAACATGGTGGTTCCGCGCTGGAACCACGTGTTGTCACATGTGCAGGTCACCCAGGCGGGTATCTAACATGGTGGTCCCGAGCTGGAACCACGTGTTTTCACGTGTTCACGACACCCAGGTGGGTATCTAGCATGGTGGCCCCGCGTTGGAACCGCGTGCTTGCACGTGTCCACGCCACCCAGGGAGTATCCAACATGGCGGCCCCGAGCTGGAACCACGTCCCACACAGGAGGGTATCTAATATGTTTGTCCCGAGCTCAAACGACGCGTACGCCCCCTGGCATGTCGCCTCGCACGTTCCTTGGCACGTTCCGTGGCGCGTCCCGTGGCGCGTCCCCCTGGCACTTCGCGCGGCGCGTCTCCTGGCGCGTCCCTCTGGCACGTCGCACGTTTTTGGAACGCTCCGCGGCGCGTCCTTCTGGCACGTCGCGCGGCGCGTCCCCTGGCGCGTCCCCTGGCGCGGCCCCTGGCGCGTCCCTGTGTACGTCACTGTGCGTTCCTTCTGGCGCGCCCCCTGGGACCCCCCCCCCCCCTGGGACGTCACCTGACGCGTCCGCTAGCGCGTCGCTTGCCTCGTCCCATGGTGTTCCTTTGGCGTGTCTTTCTGGCGCGTCCCGCGGCACGTCCGTGGCGTTTTCCTTGTTACGTCGCATGGCACGCTCCATGGCGCGTCCCGCGGCGCGCTCCCTTGCACGTACCGTGGCGCGGCCTTTGACGCGTCCCGCAGTGCGCCCCTTAGTGGATCACATTGCGGCATGGCTCGGCACCACAGAGCGGGTAGTGGTTCGACAATGTGAGCGAACCCGCGCGGACTTCGCATGCTTCGAGCTGGTTCAGCGCCCCGCACGTGTCGATTGCAACAAGTTCTGGGCGAGCTATGCGTTCAGGCAGCTCGAATTCAAGATCCAGATCAGTTCGGCCAAGAGTCGGACGCCAAGGACGACTTGATCTACAATCAAATAGCGCACAGCGTAGTTCAAAGCGGCACAACACATTTCAACTCGGCACAGCATGGCACAGCACAACACAGCCTGTGGCACTGTACATCATCGTTACCTTGAGCATTGCAATTGCCCGTCGACCAATTAGGTGTCGCGAAGCGTTTCCGTGCTTCTCATTTCTATGTTATTTTCCGGGTTCGTGGGTCGATCATGTTTCAGGATGTCCCCAACGAAATGTTGGTTGTTCAGAGAAGGTGTAGAGAGTGTCTCGAGCGAAACGCTTGTTTTGTGATATAGATTGTTCCTCTCCTGGGGACCAGAATTCAGAGGATGTCTCAGGTGAAATACTTGTTGTACGTGTGTGTTGTATTGGGATATGTGTTCGGGGATCGCTTTCCGCTTCCGCCCCCCCGCCCCCCAGGAGGCCCCAGGAGGCTTGAGGAGCGTGAAAACACATGGTTCATAACGCCCCAGGGCGGGAGAAGCGTGACAGCACATGGGTTCCGAACGCTCCAGGCGGGAGAAGCGTGAAAGCACATGGGTTCCGAACGCTCCAGGGCGGGAGAAGCGTGAAAGCACATGGGTTCCGAACGCCCCAGGGCGGGAGAAGCGTGAAAGCACATGGGTTCCGAACGCTCCAGGGCGGGAGAAGCGTGAAAACACATGGGTTCCTAACACCCCAGAGCGGGACAAGCGAGAAACCATGGTTTTCAACGCCCCAGAGTGGGAGAAGCGCAAGCACGCATTGATCCGAACATCCCAGGAGGCCCCGGGAGGCTCCAGGAGGCATCACGTGGCTCCAGGAGGTATTGTTCCGTGTTGGGAATGTATGTTCGGGGGGCGCTTTTCGCCCCCCCCGCCCCCAGGAGGCCCCAGGAGGTTCCAGGATGTATTTTTCTGAGCTGGGTATGTGTTCGGGGAGCGCTCTTCGCTCCCTTCGCCGCCCCTCAGGAGGCCCCAGGAGTCTCGTGAAGCGTGAAAAATGATTGGTTCCCAACGCCCCAGGGCGGGACAAGTGTGAAAGCACACGGGCTCCTAACGGCCCCAGGGCGGAGCAAGCGTGAAAGCACATGGTTCCTAACGCCCCAGGGCGGGAGAAGCGTGAAAACACATGGGTTACGAACGTCTCCAGGCGGGAGATATGTGAAAACGCATGGGTTCCTCACGCCCCAGGGCGGGGCAAGCTTGACAACACATGGGTCCCCTGGCACGTCCCGTGGCACGTCCATTGGCACGTTCCGTAGCGCGTCCCTTTGGCACGTCCCGCGGTGCGTCCCCATGGCACGTCCCCTGGCACGTCGCCTGGCGCGTCCCTTGTGACGTTCCGCGGCGCGTCCTCATGGCCTGTCCCCCTG